ATTATATTATATTATATTATAATATTATAATATATCATATTGTATTAGTTCATATACATATATATACACATACTTATATGTATACCTATAGATATATATAGATTAATTATATAGTTGTGAAGAACTCATGGGTCGCTCTTGGGGCATGTGGTAGTCGTTTATGTTAGACATACCTTCCGTTTCGTTGCGGTCTGCACTGTAACAGTCTGTGCGGACAATGCAGCATAGTTGCGTTTGACACGATATCAAACTCTGCTACTCGACGACATACGAGATGAGCATGCACTGTAGAGCACAAAGAGAACTCGTTTTTACGACGGGAAAAAGTTATTTGCGGCGGGTGATCGAAACAACATCCCGCGAATATTGATTCCTGCTTGGCATCATTGAATGTTGTTGGAATATGTCCGACATTTTGAATATAGCTACTGCGCCATGACCATGATCCCTTATGTTCTATACAAGAACTACGCGCGGCCCAAACCCTACACCGTCAACCCCACGACCTAAAACTGCAAACCCGAGAAACCCGAGATCCCAACCCTCAATCCTAAAGCTTTGCGTTTCAGGCTGCGCCCGCTGTCCCAGTGCAGCAGTTCCAGCGCCCCAGACCCCCGCCACCACAATGGGAGCCCAACAAGGTCTGGAATTATACGGTCACGGCTTAGGGTTAAGGTCTTATGTAGAGGAGTGAGGACTTTTTTGATGTTGGATAGAAGGGTTTCGAGTTAGGGCAGGAAGTTGGGCTTGAGGGCATCAGGCTTCAGTATTTAGGCTTTGGGTTCAAGGGAGTGAGGGTTTGGGGTAGCAGGGGCTTGCTTCATTGTCCTGCCAGGGGTTTTGGTTCAGGGAGATCCTGTCTTGGGTCTGCGTAGAAGTATATTTTCCCGCAAGTAATGCCTTAGTCTGAGCATCTCCAAAAAAACTCGCACCAAGTTTGTGAGACTGATGGTAGGGCCATGTGAGGAAAGGGCATAAGGCGCCAGGATACTCAGCTGGAGAGACGGACGGTCCGTTCATAGTGTTACCCTCCTTGCTTGGTGGTGTCGTTGGCATATCAGGTAGTGGTGGTGATCAAAAACCATGACCATCGTGTTCTGCTTGTGTCCGCGATCGGGGCTACGAAGCATGATTTCGACGGTTTTGGCGGTTGCTCAGGTTAGTGTCTGACGCCCAGTGCCGATAAATCTTTCCGGCCGCATTGCAAACGTTGCGCGATGGTAGACTAATTTTCCTTCCTTACTAGCTTTTGCAACCGCACGGAACGCTCCAAACTCCGACTCCCTTTCAGCATGCAGGAGGCTTCCAAGAGACTCCAAAATCTTTCAAGTGCGGGCTATTCCCTAAGCCACAGAATGCCTCAAGAAGAGATCATGAGGGAAGCTATGTGTAGTATCTTCTGGGTGCTAAACCCTAAACCCTAAACCCTAAACCCTAAACCCTAAACCCTCCCAACCCCAACCATCATCCGCTCACCCCGGACCAACCTCGAAAGGCGCCACGGCTGGGTCCTGCCCCGCAGGCCATGGACTGTGGAGAGCCTTTGAAAGAGCGACAGACATATGAGCGATTGTTCAAAATTATGGTCCCTTTTTGGGTCCTTATAATGATACGGCACCTATTATTTAGGGTATCCCAAAAGGGACCATAATTTTGACAACTACCCATGTAAGCAGCCAGAGTATGCCAGCCTTGTAGATCCCTAAAGCGGCAGAAACGATACTGATACCGGAAAGCGCACTCCCACTCCCATATGTGTATGTTTTCTGTACGTGAGTATACGTATATGTAGATCGCACAGGCACAAAAACAAACACACGGACACACACACACACACGCACAATGACTCATAGAAAAATGGACAGGGAGGTAGATAGACAGACAGTATGTAGCTCCAGGCATTTACCCATGTCTTTCAATTTCGATTCTACACCCTAAACCCTCAACCCTAAACCGTACAATGCGGACGGAAACGAGGTGTCAAACAGAAACCTAAACCCTAAACCCTAAAGCCTAAACCCTAAACCGTAAACCCTAAACCCTAAACCCTAAAACCTAAACCCTAGACCCTAAAACCTAAACCCTAAACCATAAAGTCCTCAACCCTTGGGCCTGTGCTTAGGACATCGGGGGTTCGATGTCACCTGGGGCCATGAGTGTAAAGCCGAAAGAGTCATCTCTCGGCTTCTAAGGTGGTCTTAGGGTAGAAGCCTGAATAGCTGCCCATACTTTGCCTGTTCCTTATTAGGGTTCCTATTATGATTGGGGGTAGAATCTATTCCAGCACCCTATTCTAATTGCTGAATGGAGTTAAATTACGTGTCAAGCGTTCTAAAGGGTCTGTGTTCTCGTGCAGACTCTGCAGGACGCATACAGGTCCTTTATCTTTAAGCGATTCTTGCAGGGCTATATTGGTTCTTCTGTGGTTGTAGAGGGTGTTGGAGTGCTAATGCCCACCTGCGAAGGGATTTGGATACGATGTGACTGCTTGTGGATCACACCCTCAAGCTAAATTCACAACGCGGACTTGCTGAGTTCATGAGGTGTTTTCGGAGGAGAGGTGCAGAATGCGTTTGTGAGATGTCCTGGTGGAACCTAATTAGTGGAGGACCCGTTTATGACCTCCTAAACCGAAGCCCCCCGGAACTACTCCTGACAGCCAGAGCCACAACTCAAATCAGCTGATATTTTGCATCTTCAGGGTGTGGTCCCGCCGAATGCTGGAGCGCTGGGGCCCGGTCCCCCAGAAGGGGAGAGCGGCAGGATCTCGGTTTTTCTGGGAAAGTGTTGCAGTTCTTCTGTGGAGTTGGGATATTGGGCTTTGGGCGTCTGAGGGCTTGGTCTTGCAGCGATTTGTTCGACTCGGAAGCCCCAAAATTCCACATCGGCACTACTTTTTAATCCCAGAGTCATGGCAACACCAAAATTACCGAAGCACAGAGTCTGACATGTTTTCCGAACCCTGAAAAAGAGAGGCGGAGTGCATCAAACTCTCCTTCTGCCTTGGATCATGGGATTAGTTGAGGAAGCTTTTGGGTCTAGAGGCTACGGTCGCTGCGGTTTAAGGGTTCATGAGCTCAGGCGTTTGAGGGCTTCGTGTACGGCTGGGGAGCCCAACGACCCTGAAGCTAAAGAGCCCCTGACCTGCAGGCCACTGGTGCGACCTGCACAGCCGCAGGCAGCTCCACCGGCTCCTTTGTGGCAACAGGGCAATTGCCCCTTAAAACCTTCGTGAAACCCTTCGGTAGAATGGTTTGAGGTTTCAGCTCCGTGAAACATGCATGCATGGAACCTGCCGTGGAATAAACGAAGATTCAAGTGCAAGGACATACTGAAAACAGCAGTAGTGAAAGCTGCTAAGAGCACTACGAACAGCAAGCATATCCATGCGCCTGAAAGGCTTCCCCTTCTCTTGCGTACAGGATTGTGGCAGCGCAGTCTACGACGGGGAGCAAACTACCTTCCGCCACAACAAACCCTAAACCCCAAAATCCTTGAGCTTTAAACCCTAAACCTTAAACCCTAAACCCCAAAGCCTAAACCCGGTCGAATCCCTACTGACCTGAGGCAGGGGCTCCTGTGCCAAGCATTCTGGGAGCGAGGCAGGTTCAGAGATGACGGACATCTTGAAATGATTATATATCCACAAATAAAACTCCTACGTTCTTATGTAGATTTATCTAGAACGATGTAATTTCTATTTAGCTGTATCTAGTGCTGAAGAAATTTACATGAATTATGTGGAGCAGCTCCTAGGGTCCCAGAGTCGCTCCTGGGCTTGCTTTTGTCGACAGAAGCCCGCAGGGTTGAATCGAGTCTATATCACGAAGCGTGGTGTTGTATGACAAGAATGAGACATGCATATACAAGTATCATGTATGTATGTATGTATGTATGTATGTATGTATGCATGCATGTATGTATGTATGTATGTATGTATGTGTATATATATATATATATATTAATATATTAATATATTTTTTCTACATACATACATACATACATACATACATACATACATACATACATACACATAATGTTCTTGACATATATATATATACACACACACACACATGCGCAGCTCTCTCTCCCTCTCTCCCTCTCTCTCTGGCCCCCGTCTGTGTCTAACAGCTCGGATCATGGAAGACCAGGGAGGCGGCGAGAGTAAGATCCTTGACCCACAGAAATTGCTGCGAGATTTCACTGCCGCATCAGCTGGTAGTACTAGCCTGTCCCGTTCGGCATGGTGTGCACTGCAGGCCAACAGCACCTCCACCTCCCGGTGGCCCGGGCCTCATACTGAATTGAATGCCAACACTCATGGCTATCTTCGGCATGGAACCGTCCCCAAATCCAGCCAAGACCAACGGCGACGACGACTACTACTGCTAGTCCCACTACTGCTGCTGCTGCCGCTGCTGCTATCACTGCTGTGCGGTACCTCTGCTGTTTCTACTACTACTACTACTACTACTACTACTACGACTACTGCTAATACTACTACCACTACTCGTACTGCTGCAACTCCCACTACTACTCTTGTGCAACTATTGTGAGCGCAACAGCAAGGTGACAACATGGGTGATGGTTACGGGCATAGCACGAGTTCTGCGCTAAACATATTGGCCAGAGTAGCAGTCGTTGCAGCAACTACGATACAGGTGGTTTCAATGGTCGTCGAAACAGCACTGACCAAAGCAATCGTGGAAAGAGTCACAGCAACAGGCGTACAACTAACGCAGTCCTTCTTAGTCTTCGCTCCGCAGGAATTGCTGCCTTGCCTCAACCTGGCCTCACGCCACTTCGGCCAGCCGCGGATGCTGCAGGTGCGGCCTGTGTGTGTAGATATCACGACAAGCATCATGGTGACCAATAAGCACTTATCAACATCGTTTACAGCCTTCAAGAGAATGGGCATATCCTTCAGGTGCTGCCACCGTGCCAGCAGCGCTTCCGGGGCTTCTTCCGCCGGGAGCTGAGGAGTTGGCCGCGAACAATTGTGTGGTATTATTGGCACAGTATATTTAGATTGTACTCAGGATCCTCCTATGTAGTCTTTCAAAGCTGCCACTAGTGCCTGTTTGTCTGCCTAAGCCTTGGCAAGGCAGCCTTGGTCCTTTTGATGGAAGTATCAGGAAGTTTGAAACGCTCTTGCCTTCTTGCCTTCCCTGCTTGCCAGCGACATCGCATTTTCTGCAATTCATTTCTTTGCACAAATCCGCTGTCCGCCTGCAGCTTTTGGCGGCCTCCTAGAGCCGTGGACCTGCTAGTCGCCCTGTGCTCTACTGTGACTGAGTGCGACCTTCAAGGCTAGGGCATGGATATTGGCCACCTTGCTGCTACCGTGCTGACTGAAGCTGCTCGTAGTGTTGTTGCGGGTGATGTATATGATGTTGATGACGAAGATACCATAGACAGTTCACGTGCTCTGCTTTCCTCAGGCCTGGTTTTGCTCCCACAGCTCCAGGAGTGGTGGCCTTGGAGACGAGTTATCTATCACTCCGAGCATCGTAGTCTCTGTGACAGGTTTTTTGCAGATGCCAACGGCCGCAGACCGTAAAGCCTGACAACTTCCCTCGACCTTAAGCCCTAAACCCTGTCTCTCTCCGTGATTCTTTCTCTCTTCCCTGCCTGAACCTGGCAAATTTCGGCTCGTTCAGGTTGGTCTCCCGACCTCACCACCGAACTTGCTGGCAGGCTCATTTAGAAATATATCTCGGTGTATATAAGCATGTATATGCATAGATATTTCTCTACACTTGTTTGCAGTTGTACATTTACGTGTAGATATATGATTGTATCATGGTTGCTTGATGTGTCATACGACACATGCCGGTCGACACGCCAAAGAGTCAGTAAAACTATGCTCTGTTAGATGTATCCGGGAGAGGCGCATGTGGGACCCTTGCCAATCCGGCTCGGGCTAGGATGGTGTGACGAGAAAGGTCATACGGATGAGACAATAGGGTTCAGAAGAGACAAGGATCAGAAGAAGACAGGCGAACAAGCCTAAACCCTTAAACCCTTAAGCCCTAAACCCTAAACCCTAAACCCTAAACCCTGAAACCCTAAACCCTGAAACCCTAAACCCTAAACCCAAAAAAAAAACCCTGCACCCAAAGGTTTTCCATGGTTCGACTGCAGGGACGATCACAGCGAGAGGTCTAGGCAGCAGAGGATGAGAGCCATCAGGGTGCCAGGAAGATCACGGTTTAGGGTTTAGAGTTTAGGGTTTAGGGTTTAGAGTTTAGGGTTTAGGGTTTAGGGTTTAGAGTTTAGGGTTTAGGGTTTAGGGTTTAGGATCAGGGGACCCTATTTTTTTTAGC